GCTAGTTCTTCACATGCTATCAGAGCAGGTCGACCCTCCTGGGTCGATCCTGTGGGTGGGCCCCACCCGATGCTTCCGCTGCTGTACTGCTGTCGCGCGCCCCGGGCGCGCGACCCTATCTTCCTGCCGCGCGCTCGGAGCGCGCGTCGTTTTTCATCCCGCCGTGCGCTCGGGGCGTGCGGCGGTTTTCTGCCCGCCGTGCACCCCGAGGCGCGCGGCGGTTTCCTGCCCGTCGTGGCGCCCCCGGGGACCTGCGCGCTGCCCCCCGCCGTCCTCCTCCCGTCGCCTCGTCGCGGCGCCTTGGGGGCCCGCGTGTCCCCCCCCTCCCGTCGCCTCGTCGCGGCGCCTTGGGGGCCCGCGCGCGGTCCCTTTCGTCGCCCGTCGAGCCGCCCTCGGGGGCCCGTGCGCGGCCCCCCTCCCGTCACCCGCCGTGGCGCCCTTGGGGGGCCCGCGCCCTGCTCCGCCCAGGAGACCCCCTCGCCGCCTCCCTTTCCCTCAATGAACCGCCCCTGCTGCTTCCCGCGCTCCTGCCTGCGTTAGGGTTTGGGGGTGGCGGGCATGGGGGTGACTGGTGTGGGTAACCTACAGCTCCTCCTCCTCCTCCGTCTCCCACTGCTGCAGCTGCCACTGAGGGGGGTGGGTGTGTGGGAGCCGAGGGTTTCAGGTTTAAGGGGGGTGCTGTATGAGTGGAGCTAGGGTTTCAGCAGGGGGTGTGTGAGAGGGGCGTGGGACGGTCGGGGGAGGTTGCATGGAGGCTGCCGTCGTGTCGCCTGCAGCGCCAGTAGTTCGGAGCCGTCGTGCTCTCGGTAGCCCAGAGAGCCTGCTGTGCCTGTCGCCCGTGGGTCCGTTGCTCTTGCCGCTCCTCGTAGCCGCCGAGCCAGTTACTCCAGTTGTCCGGGGCGCTGTCCCGGTAGCCACTGTGTGCGCGCTCCTGTTGCCCGTGTGTCTGCAGCTTCAGCCGTCGTCTCCAATCTTCTCTCCCCTCACAGTCCCTCCTCCTCCTCACTTGCCCTCTGTGATTACCTCTACCTTTGCTTGTAATTGGTGAACTTACTTTATGCCTGCTTGTTGTGCTGATCATGCCCCACTTTGACTATGGGGGTGTGTCAGAATGTTATAACTGTCTAGCCTGCAGTGGGGTACTCTATAGCGAGTACAACCCAATTAGGGTTTCCTATATGTATCTCAACTGCTGCTAGTGCACACCATCCTTTTCTTCATTTCGGTTTCTACCAGCTAGTTCTTGACAGGGCAGTGGGGCGGGTCAGTGCGTCGGCGATGTTCGAGGCTCCCTTTTTGTAGGTGACCGTGTAGTGAAAATTGGACTCGAGAAAATTGAGCCAGCGAATCTGTCGTGGGTTGAGGTGGGGCTGTGCACGGAGATACTGTAGTGATTTATGGTCTGTCCGTACTGTCACGTCTGCGCCGGTCAAGTGACAGCGCCACACTTTGAACGCGTGCACGATCGCAGGCATTTCGCGGTCGTGTATCGGGTAATTTTTCTCGGGCGGATGCAGTTTTCGTGACTCGTATGCGATGGGCTGTAGGTCATTGCCGAAGTCCTATAGCAGTACGGCTCCGATGGCGATGTCGCTTGCGTCGGTAACTATTTCGAATGGGCGGTGTGGGTCGGCGATGTGCAGGACGGACGGTGAAGAGAGAACATTTTTCAGGGCAGAGAAGGCAGCATGCTCTTTCTCCCCCCACATAAAAGCGACAACCTTCCGTAACAAGTCCATCAGCGGCGCTGTTAACCGTGCCATGTCGGGGACGAACCGACGCACGTAATTGACAAACCCTAAAAAACTCTGTATTTCCGCGATATTCGTCGGTGGGTGCCAGGCTTTCACTGTGTCCAACTTCTTTGGGTCAATTTCGACCCCAGCCTCCGAAATAACGTGCCCCAAAAACTCTAGCCTGTCCTGAAAAATCTCGCACTTGGAACCCTTGGTCAGTAGCCGATGCTCGTCTAAAATCTTAAACACTGCTTCCAAATCTTCTAAGTGTTGCTGCTTGTTGCAACTGTAGACGAGGATGTCGTCGAGGTAAACTATCACGCATTTATCTAAAAGTGGCCTAAACGCCTCGTTCATGGTCATCCAAAATGTCGCTGGTGCATTGGTCAGCCCGAAAGGCATCACGCTGTACTCGAATGACCCGTACCTAGTCCGAAAAGCTGTTTTGGCGCAGTCCGATGGTTCGACTCTAATCTTATGGTAACCCCCTCGGAGATCTATTTTCGAAAAACCCGTGCTATTCGCAGTTGATCTATCATCTCGTCGGCGTGCGGAATAGGGTATCGCGACTTGATTGTTACCCTGTTGAGCGCTCGGTAATCGATGCACATGCGAAACCCTCCGTCTTTTTTTGGCGTGAACCATATCGGTGCGGCGAACGGTGACGAGCTCGGTCGGATGAATTTCTTCATTAACAAGTAATCTAGCTGCTTCCTCAGTTCGTCGAGCTCGGGTTGTGTCACTCTGAACTGGCGCTATACAGTTGGTTGTGCCCCCGGTTCTAATTCTATTCGGTGATCATGTGCTCGCTGAGGTGGAAGTCCTTCCGGTAAATCGTCGGGAAAAATCCCGGGGTATCGTTTCAACAGTTCCTGCAGTTCGGGTGGTACCACTGCCAGCAGTTTCTTGAAATCACTCGGCTGCTCTGCTCCCTCTACCACTGCAATGTCGACTGCGTACACGTCAGCTCCAGCAGCGACAACCCGTTTCATGGTGACGGCGTTGACGTGTACCGTTGAAGACTCGGGCGACTGCCAGCGAGGTAGCTCAACCCAGTTACCGCTACTCAACCCAGCGTGGATCAGTACTGGGCAATCTGTCGCTGTACCCTCCTTATTCGTTCGAGCCCGATCGGTGGTGTGAATCGGTACTGTGACTCGGTGAGGGACGGTGCGGTTGGGCGAGCAGGCAGTCTCGTCAGTAGTTGGCCCAACTTCTACCGACTGCTGGTGTTTCCCTGCCTCTGAGACTCCCTCCCCTGCTCTGCTCCGTGGCACCTCAGCTCCTCTGGGCATTCGCTCTTGCGATGGCCCGGCCTGTTGCAAGCAAAGCAGCGCCCTTTAAACGGCGCGGCAGCTACATTCGTCGCAACGGCATGTACGGTGGCGTGCTCGATCGGTCCTCGAGGGCGATGTCCGTAGTAGGACCCCGGTCTCGAACGGCGCAAAATGTCGATTTTCTCGGCGAGCGTGAGAATCTCGTTGAAGTTTGAGAGCCCGCGTAGCATGATCTCGTGCGAGATGTCTGGCTTCAGCTCTCCGACGTAACGGTCCACTCGCTCCGCCTCGTGCATGTAGCCGACATGCTCGCATAATGCGACAAAACCGCTCGTGTAGTCTTGAACCGACCCAAGCTACCGCCAAGTACGCGGTCTCTGATGGGCCGAAATAGAAGCCGCGATCGGCTCGAAGCGCGCTCGAAGCCCTGCGCACCACGCATCCCACGTGCTGTACTGGGCGGTTTCGCAGAATGAACTCTAGGTGACGACTGGACCCGTGGGCCCTTCCTCTTGCGACGGTGGCTCGTAGGCGCATGGCGACGTCACGATGACTCGCCACCAGTCCATGGCAGGGCCCCTCAGCAGCGAGATGGCATATCGGATCTTCGCTGCGTCCGACTCAATGTAATTCGCGTCGAAGAAGACGTTCATCGTGAAGACCCACGATTGAACCGTCGGACCTCCACGCTGGCTCGGGTCGAAGCAAGGCGGGCGTTGCGGCTTGAGTGGCATTGGTGCCATAATGGCCTGTTCGCCATTTGTCGCCGCAAACTCCACGTGACGACGGGCTTCACGAGGCTCCCGTGGGCTTGGTACGACCCTGTTTCTCCCCATGCCAGGCATCAGTTGGGCGGCGCCATCACTGGTTGCACCTTAGCGCTGTCCCACGCTGCCGTGTTGTGTTGGTGTGCCGGACGAAATGACGATCGGCTCGTCCGATTGTGCAGATGCATTTGTCGGTGCGTGTGGTGGCGCTGGAGTATTCGCCGTGGATTGCTGACGCGCGGAGTCACGTTCCGCTGTGAGCGTCGCAATTTCGAGCGCTGATTCTTCAACCTGGCGCACCAGACAGTCAAGCTGCTCCTGCGTCAACGTCACGAGCGTGAATTCGGCCATGGCGGGGGTGTCGGGCGAGCTCAGCGAGAGCCTCTGTCGTGGCCGTGCGTGCTTACGAGAGAGCACTATGAGCGGCGGTGCTGTGTCACTGAAAGACGTCTACCCCGCCCCAAAATTTGAGATAGTGGGGAAGCGAAGGTGTGGGTGCGGTCCGAGAAGAGATCGTAGGCTCTGAATACCAAGTGTTACGAGTGCAAATGAGCGCACTATCGAATCAAGAGTACAATGAGCGAAGGTATGAGCGAAGAATATACAGCGAAACTACAGTTGTAACGGTAATGGACTGTGGTTGTCGCGCGGTGGGCGGACTGAGGCTTGGGGAAATGTCGATGCAGAGGCCCGGAGCGCGGGTTACCCGCCGAGCCGTGAGGTCGGGGTGCGACATGCGAGGGTGGCGGGAGGGTTGTCGATGCGAGGGTTGCGAGTGGTAACGGTGCTGACTGTGGTGCTACAGTGGTGTACGCGCTGAGCGGGGACGCTAAGTAAGGAAAAGGAATTTTCCTTACACGTATACTGTAATTACTTCCGGTTCATCAGCTTTAGAAGGTTCGACCATAAAAAACAGACTGAGAACAAGACGACACACATTCCACCCAGCACACGCATCGGCAAGAAGGCGGAACAGAAGCACGCTACGCTACATGACACCATAACAAATGAAGCGATTAGATTAGCACAAATGCAATGCAGACGCCTGGAAAAATGCCAACTATACACTCCAACATACGCTCCCATAACCACAGTTCCTCTGATAAGTACAGTCCTCCACTCTAAGAATTCTTCTTCAAAAGAGTGGCGAGGGCAGCGCGTTGGGGCGGTGGCGGCGGCGGGGGTTGGAGGCGAGGAGGGTGGTGGAGGCGTTGATTATGTCACAGTCCTCGTCCGCTGCTATGAGCGAGACGGCGTGGGGGTTGGCGAGCAGCAGCTTGGCTGTTAGGTATCCTGCGATGCTCCACGTCTGGTGCAACCGTGCTTGCTTGCCTATGAACCGTCCCCTCCTGCAGGGAGGGGCAGAGTGCGCGCAGGGGGGGGGAGGGGGGACAGGGAGCAATGAGGGAGACGGCGTGGGGTTGGTGAGCAGCAGTCTGGCTGTGAGATACCCTACTGTGCTCCACGTCTGGTGCAGCCTCGCATGCTTGCCTATGAACCGCCCTCGCCTGGAGGGACGCAGTGAGGGTAAGGATGGGTGAAGAATGGTGTGCGGATATGGTTGTGTGAGAGTGTAGGTGGCACACGATGAATATGATGACGGGGTGTGGATATCATATGCGGTTGCAATGTAGGCCTTAACCCTTCTGGTGTAGCTTCTGTCACAGCACAATACCTCTTGTCACCCTGCGCAGCACAGCTCAGCACAGCACCCTGTCACACTGCGCAGTAACTGGTGTCACCGCACAGTACCTGGTGTCATAGTACTCGGGCCAGCGGTCGGCCTGCAGGCGCTGCTCTGCGAGGGCCACAGCGCGCTGTGCCAGGTGGGGGCGACCCATCTTGATGCACGCTGCTGTGAGCGGCCACAGCAACACCGGCCACGACCCCCCGTTGTGGTACGACCACGCTCTGTGGGAGTAGGGAGGGGTTCAGATGACAGGGCAGGCGGGTTTGTTGGGAAGGAAACGGAGAGAATGACATGGGCACACATAAACATGCAGCAAGAGAAACAGTGGCACTCCGTTGGGCATTCCACAGCAAAGCAAACCAAGTATGCCCTGAAAACTGCAAGCACTGATTCCGCCGCAAAGCAACCATTGTTAATGCGCCACTCGCCCCTCTCTATGGGCAGGAAAATAGATCTTCATCAGCATAGCCCCCACGAGCTCCTCCCACTTCCCTAACCCCTCCTCAGACCTCCCACCCCCGTTGACTCACGTGTTCTTGGGGTCGGCGCCGGTATTTATCCGCCACTCGCCATTCTCCAGCACGGGGAAGCAGATCTTCATGGGCATGCCGCCCACCAACTCATCCCACTTCAATAAACCCCCCTCAGACCTCCCACCCCCACTTGAAACTCACGTGTTCTTGGGGTCAGCGCCAGTGATAATGCGCCATTCGCCGTTCTCCAGCGCGGGAAAGCATATCTTTATGGGCATGCCGGCCACCAAATCATCCCACTTCTCCTCCACCAGATCCAGAATCGCCTCCGCCTGCTGGTGCGACGCCAGGCTGCTCACAATCGCCCACAGATTCCCCAGCGCAAACCACCGGAAGTCCATATGCGCCGGCTGCACATTCCCCACAAAGTACCCTCCGCGGTCCGGGATCCAGTCCATGAGCCACGGGGGAATCTGATCCGGGTAGATGTTGAACTTGTTCACGGCGTCGTGCGAGTACTCCTCGGTTTTGAAGCGGTAAATGGTGTTGAGGGCGGGCAGGTCCAGCCAGTAGTAGCGCCGGATGTGGAAGGCCAGCGCCGTGAGCCGCGCGTTGACGGCGCGGATGAGGTCGATGCTGTCGCCCTCTGGGATGAGCATGTCGCGCGCTGCTCTCAGGGCGCCGTATAACAGAGACTGCACAGTGGAAATGGGAAGGGGGATTTGAATGCATTAGAATGGGCACTGAGCTGTAGTCGTGGTGGTGTGCATGCGCAGATGAGGTCGATGCTGTCGCCCTCTGGGATTAGCATGTCTCGCGCTGCTCTCAGGGCGCCGTATAAGAGAGACTGCAGGGTAAGAAGGGGAAGGAGAGGGGGCATTGTGACAGTGCTACTCTGTCTTGAAGCGGGTGAGCACAGAGCAGGCCGCGGATGAGGTCGATGCTGTCCCCCTCTGAAATGAGCATGTCTCGTGATGTTCTCAGGGCGCCATACAGGAGAGATTGAGCGGTGCAAGGAGGGAAGGAGAGGGGCAGGGAGCAGAGCGTGGGCAGCGGCAGCGAGTGCGAAAGACAGGGAGTGGGGAAGAAGGAGCACCAGCGTTGGGCTTTTAGCCGCAAGAATACAGAGAGAGCAAAGTGGCCACAGATGGGCCTAAGAGCACGGAGCACATGCTCTAGCAGCTGCGACTGAGCGAGCGACAAACGGACCTAGGAGCACAGAGCAGTGAGCTGACCTGAATCTCCAAGGGGTGGCCCACTTTAACCGTTTGCATCGACTCAAGAGCTCACCTGAGTCTCTAGTGGATGGCCATGGATACCAAGGCAGCGGTCGATCACGCAGGAGCCATCTGTGGTGATGAGTGTGGGGAACATGTCGAAGTGATCCGCGAGGCAGACATGTGCACCCCATGAACCACCTCATACGGAGCACTGAGCTCACCAGGATCTCGAGGGAATGCCTCACACTCACCTTTTGCATCTACTCTTTTTGCATCTACTCTTTTTGCATCTACTCTTTTTGCATCTACTCTTTTTGCATCTACTCTTTTTGCATCTACTCTTTTTGCATCTACTCTTTTTGCATCTACTCTTTTTGCATCTACTCTTTTTGCATCTACTCTTTTTGCATCTACTCTTTTTGCATCTACTCTTTTTGCATCTACTCTTTTTGCATCTACTCTTTTTGCATCTACTCTTTTTGCATCTACTCTTTTTGCATCTACTCTTTTTGCATCTACTCTTTTTGCATCTCCTCTTTTTGCATCTCCTCTTTTTGCATCTCCTCTTTTTGCATCTCCTCTTTTTGCATCTCCTCTTTTTGCATCTCCTCTTTTTGCATCTACTCTTTTTGCATCTACTCTTTTTGCATCTACTCTTTTTGCATCTACTCTTTTTGCATCTACTCTTTTTGCATCTACTCTTTTTGCATCTACTCTTTTTGCATCTACTCTTTTTGCATCTACTCTTTTTGCATCTACTCTTTTTGCATCTACTCTTTTTGCATCTACTCTTTTTGCATCTACTCTTTTTGCATCTACTCTTTTTGCATCTACTCTTTTTGCATCTACTCTTTTTGCATCTCCTCTTTTTGCATCTCCTCTTTTTGCATCTCCTCTTTTTGCATCTCCTCTTTTTGCGTCTCCTCTTTTTGCATCTACTCTTTTTGCATCTACTCTTTTTGCATCTACTGAGGAGCTCACCTGGATCTCCAGCGGATGGCCATGGATGCCTAGCCGCCTGTCGATCATGCAGGAGCCATCGGTGGTGATGAGCGTGGGGAACATGTCGAAGTGGTCCGCCAGGCAGACCTTGAGAATGAGCTTGATGCCCGTCTGCACGTCCACTCTCTGCTGCAATGACACGTCTCCCGTGCACTGTCCATATGCTTGTAGGAGCTGTATCCACCACAGGCCTGGGGGTTGGGAAAGGAGTGAGGGGCGGGAAGGGTGGTCCGCGAGGCAGACCTTGAGAATGAGCTTGATGCCCATCTGCACGTCCACTCTCTGCTGCAATGACACGTCTCCCGTGCACCGTCCGTATGCTTGTAGGAGCTGTATCCACCACAGGCCTGGGGGTTGGGAAAGGAGTGAGGGGCGGGAAGGGTGGTCCGCGAGGCAGACCTTGAGAATGAGCTTGATGCCCATCTGCACGTCCACTCTCTGCTGCAGTGACACGTCCCCCGTGCACCGCCCATATGCTTGCAATAGTTGAATCCACCACACGCCTGGGGGAGGGGGGAGATGGGAAAGTGAGGAAGAAAGGGGGGGATGGGGGAAGGGGTCGGAGGGAGGAGGAGTGGGGGAGCATAATGGGATAAAGGAGGGACGGATGAAGAAGAACGAATTCATCAAGAGGATGGGGTAAGTGAGAGAAGGACAGGGACACAGGGCAGAGAGAAACACAGGCGTTATCAGATGCGCAAGTGGTCACGAGTGTCAGAGCTGGTTATCACAATGAGAGCGCCAACCGCTCACCAGAGTCAACAGGAGCCACGCGGCCAATGGCAGACTCGCCAAAGTCAGGGTCGAGGTGCTCCTCGTACGCCGCTCCGCCCCCAGCGCTGCCCTCCACGGGCGTCTGAGTGACCTTGAAGCTGGCCGGCATGAGCCCCTCGCCTGGCCTGTGCGCGTCTACGGTCTTCTCCCAGCTCTGGTGGTGCAAGGCGAACACGCAGTGCGAGGAGGAAAATAAAAAATTTGGAGACGCGACTGAAAACACGTGGGCAGTGGCACAGCATGAGCCCCTCGCCCGGCCTGTGCGCGTCTACAGCCTTCTCCCAGCTCTGGTGGGTCATGGACAGGGCAAGGAGAAATTAAATCTGGTTTAAGACTGTCTCAAGACGCATGGGCAGTGTTAGGAGATGTGGGTGGGAGGAGTGTGGGGGATGGGCGAGGATGGGGAATGGCGCTGACTGTATGTGTGTGACGTGGAGTGTAAAGTGGAGCATTGACGGATTGGGGAATGTATGAGACGCAGGGTGCGATGATGGATGGGCAGCCAACCTGATGCCGCAGCGTGTAAAGCAGGAACTGCGGACGATCATGTGACGGCCTGCGGACTGACCTCACTGCGTGCACGAGAACGATTGCACCTACAGGCATGACCCCAGCAACAGGCACATATTGAACTGACCTGCAGCTGTAACGTGTAGAGGAGGAAGTTGCGGACGATCTCGTGGTGGCCGGAGAGCATGAAGGCGAGCGCGGAGGGGATGAAGTCGCGGATGAACACCTGGTCGTAGTTCAGCGCCGCTGTTGACGTGGGGTCCGCTGCTGCTACCGTGCCCACCTGGTAGTGGGAGAGGGGAGAGGGGATGAAGTCGCGAATGAACACCTAGTCGCAGTTGAGCGCTGCTGTTGACGTGGAGTCTGCTGCTGCTACTGTGCCCACCTGGTAGTGGAATGGGGCGAGGAGGGTGGGAGATGCGAGAAAGGAGAGACTTGTGGGATGGAGACCTGGTCGCAGTTGAGCGCTGCTGTTGACGTGGAGTCTGCTGCCGCTACTGTACCCACCTGGTGATGACGGAAGAGCCGGCGAAGGACGTAAGAGGGCGACGGGAGAAAGGAGAGGGACGAGGAAAGGAAAGAGAGAGGAAGGGGAGACGGAAGAAGAGTTAGGGGAATGAACGTGAGGACTGAATGAGTGTGAAGACTGAAAAAAGGAGGAGCCGAGGAGGTGAGAGAGGGGAGGAGGTGAGAGGAGGGAAGGAGGGGAAGGGAGGGGAGGCGCGCACGGGTTGGTTGTAGTAATGAACGACGGAGGCATTGAGGAGGTCCCATGCCTCCTGCACCATGGGGGTGGGCTCCAGCTGCGCGTAACTCTGCTGCCCTCTGCCCACCGCCGCACCGTCGGCCGCCACCACCACTTCCTCCTCCACGTCGACCGCCGCCCGCCGCTTCTTCCCTCCCTGCCAAATGCTTCCCTCCACTTCCTCTTGGATCGACGTGGAAAACTCCGAAACACTGCCGTTGCCCGACGCGATAGACGTATCCTGCGTTGATGCTCGGTGCGGCTGCTGAGGTACAGCTGGTTGGCCCGCGCTGGCGGCGCCGCTTGCAAGGGTCAGTTGCCGTTTCGGCGGCCGGCAATCAAGGGGAGGGACCGCGACGCCTGCGCCGGCGGGGTGGAGGAAGGAGGTGGTGAGAGTGGCCGCGAGGCGGCCTGCTCGTGAGACCGCATGCGACGATCGGGGCCGTGCGACGGGCTGTCGCGAGCAGAGCGACGGACGTTGGGCGGAAAAGGATCTCGTCGACGCATCGCAGGATAAGCTGCACGAAGATCTGTGCGACGACGCGAGTGAGAGTGCACACGACGATGATTCTGGTCTGAGGACTGGGCGATGGGACGAGCAGAATCGAACGGCCGTGCTGTGAGGTGGCATGATCGAAGCCGCGTTGCTGTTCCAACGGTGAAGGCCCGTGCTTAGAGGCACTGAGAGAGCAGCTCTCGCCTTGATCCACGACGACTTCATCTTGACGGATTCAGTTTGCAATTGAGCGATGATAGCCCGCTGATGATACCTGGTATTTATATGCAGTGGAAGTACCGAATTACCCGTCTGATAATTTCAAGCTGAAGCGAGCGAAGTCGAACCTTGAAAGTGGGTGGAGAGAAAAAAACTGAAATCCAGGACCTTGGAAGTGGGTCGAGTGCGGGGGTGAATCTGTCTCGGGAATATCTGTGGTTGTTTCACGAGAGCACTGCTCTGCTCACAAATTTCGAGGCGATGCGCTCCGTTCTCAGACCACGTCTATCCACCGCTTGCTGTGTTGATTGGGCAGGCAGGAAAGTACGTACGTCTCACACGAAAAACTCGACTGGTGAAGAGTCTGCGGTACAACACGGTACAGGGGCGCATCTCTGGGATGGAACCACATCAGCGACGACCAAGGCTTGATGCGAGCTTGGCGCTCCCAGCCGTCAGCGGCGATGAATGAGCCAGCCCTGATCACGGAGAGCCACGCCATCCCGCAGATCATTACTGGACGTTGGGTCTGGCGCGCCAAGCACACCAATGACAATGACTGTTTTTTGCCGTCAGCTGAGTCATCAAGAGGCCAGTGCATGACAACATTTGCCCGACAATTTTGCTTTCCAGATTGTTGCGTGGGATGAAGCAAGCGAGTGAGCAAGGAGTACACTACCAAGCTGTTTATGAAATCCATAGCTAAGTCATGCATAATAGGACCTACCTACAGAAACAAATGGCAGTCACTTAACAATATATAAAATGTTATGTACGTATGTATGATATTTAAAAAATGCTTAGAATTTTCTTTAGGTCCTATGAATGGGCGATATCATTCAAAGTGAATGAAATTCATATTCAAATATAGTACATATTTCTTATGGATGGGCTGATATCTACAATATGTGCATCACCATGATTTTCAACTATGTCATTATTCTATTTGGGCATTTATCTTAGCAGTAACACTCATGAAGTCACGTTTCTAAATCGTAACAGAGATGTCTTTTCATCGTCACCATTATTGTCGAGATGATCAATACTATTGCCTAAATGGTAATGAATAGTGCATCCGGAAATCATGGCTTGTAACTCGCGTTCCAACCAAATTGTACACCGTACAAATCAGGTTTGATTCAGCAAAAAGAAACTGACTGTCCACGTATACACCCACAGAATGCGCAATTCTGTTTAGAATGCCAACGCTTACAAACGCAAAAAGTTACATGCACGCATTCGATATAATTTCCTACTACTATTACAGCAAGCATCTTACGAAAAATCTGGAGAAGCAAATGTAACCTGACTATGTAAAATGTGCGATCAAATTATCTGCTAATACAGTCCATATCAGGGCAAATTTTTGGATTTGACATACCCTTAAGATCAGTGTACCCCTATCTCAAAAAACTGATTATCAGTGTGACCCCCTACAGAAAAACTTTCACATCAGGGTATTGTTAAATTTTTAAAAATTTACCCTGTCGCATCAGTGTAACATTTTTGTAAAGCCTGGTCATTTTATTTTAATGCTGCACGCAATACAGATCCTACTCATCATCAGACATGGCCCAAGGGTGTTCATCGTGGTCACTTCCCTCCTCTGGCTCTGGTGCCTTCTGCTTCCCCTTCCGATCCACAGGTATCGGGGGCGCAACTGATTTCGCAGGCTTGCGCGTTTTCTGCTTGCGCCAGATGTCCACCACGTCTGGCCAGACGTAGGGGTACTTCAGCATGTGCAGCGTCATCAGGTCGCCAAGGCGTGCATCGCACAGCGATGTACGCATCCAGCTCTTTATGATATTCTGGCGACTGAACCCTCTCTCACACTCCACTGTGCTCAGTGGCAGCACAGCGAGGGCCTGCCAGAGTGTCATTAGGTTCGGATAGCTGCGTCGCCAATCCCGGCTCTTCAACATGCTGTGAAGACCCTGGTGAAAATTTTCTCCCGCGTGATGGCGTGGCATGATGTGACAAAAGCTCCTCAGCTCCTTCTTGGCGGCCTTGAAATCGAATCCTGACGGAGAAGGGGTTTGGGGCGAGGGAAGTAGTTAGCGGTGGTTGTCCGATGTTGGATGACATGCCTGAGACAATACGTGTGAAAGGAAATGAAACATCACAGCTCACCTGGTAGCATGCCGCCAAACAGCTCGTCGTTTGCGGCCAGCCACTCGAGGGTCTTCAATTCGCGCTGGTCATCTCTGCTCGGCCACGATTCAACTTGAAACAGCTTAGCGCCGCCCAACTGCTGCAAGTCCCACATGCGGTACTTCATGCGTGCGACAATTTCCTTCGCGAACCCTGTGCAGAGCTTCTCGCAGTCAGCAAGCGTGCCCCCAAACTTGTGCTTCTTGATTGGGGTCTCGCTCAGCTCGAACTTGTGTGATGTCTGCCGCCCCTCCGAGTCAATGCCTTCAACCACCACCGTCCGGTTGTCACCACCGTGCTGCTTAATGAACTTGGACAGGTGCTTGCTGGCCCCGCCGCCAAAGGTGTCTTCGTACTGTATGTAACGGTGAGTGATGATGGTGATCGTGTGGTCGACTTCTTTGGCCACTAGTGTGATGTCCACCTGAACACAACGGGCACGTGAAACATGTTAGTCGAGGAACAATTTAGTGTTACCACAATAACGACCGGTACAAATGGAACTTGCCTTGCGGTGCTGGAAGAAGCGGTTGAGAGAGTTGAGCACAGCAAGAATGTCTGCGAGGAAGTACAAACAAAAGTGAAATTTGAAGGTCTGTACTGTTGCAGCAATTTTGTGGCGGTACTCAACAATCATGACGATCGCCGCCCCAAGTACTCTGCATAGCCTCGCTATAGCATCTCCGCGTGATAGCCAACGGACGTTGAAAATTCCCTGGTGTTCAAGATTTGTCTTGTGTATCTCTTGTTGCAGCTCCTTGAATCTGTCGTACCAAATGTTGGAACGGCAGATGATCTCTCCCACGGCTCGCACTGCAGCGTCGATCATGTTCAGGTCGGGGAAAGCCTTCGCAGCATCCTTGACCACGAGTGCTTCCCTGCAACACATCCAAGTGGTAGATTAGTTAAGCTTAACGATGAACGGTTTTACAGCATTGCATGCGATGATTCTCGGAAACGCTTAAGCGAAGCTCACCGATGCGCGACGCAGTGACATCCGACGAGATGCGGCACGTGCTCTTGCAGACGGCTAACCAGACCGTTCTTCTCCCCCGTCATCACAGAAGCTCCGTCGGTGCCGATGCCGGAAACCCGCTTGATGTCCACCCCAACAGACTCCAGGTGGCTTGTGAGCACAGTGAAAAGCGAGGATGCGTCGCACTTGTGCACCGTCAGTAGCACCAGAAATTCCGTGACGGACACGCCATTTTTGAGGAAGGTGGCAAACACGATCAAATGTTTGCCGCGAGCGCGATCGGTGCTCTCGTCGCAAGTAATGCCGATGAATGGTGAAGCGAGAAGATGCTGCAGCTGCTATGTTTTCTGGTACTTAGCCATCGCCGAGGCCATTTTGTTGAATCCGTACCTGCCACAAGCCGAGGTGAAAGCGCTTAGACACAAATGGAATGCGGAAACATTCGTTGTGGGCTGGCTATTTTGGCACACGCTTACTGTGTGATGTACACGCCGTAGGACTGAAGCGGTATGTCCTCTACTCCCTCCTCTGCGAGGAAGCCTATGAGCTTCTGAAACATCGCGATCGGTGCGTCGTTGTTGCAGATAAACTCCACGCCGCGCATGAGACGAGTCAGCCGCGCCCCCTCCTTGTCGGTATTGGCGAAGTCGTCGATCCTCTTCTGGTGCTCGATCTCCGCCATGAGCGTCCGCTGCCGCTTCATCGCTTCCTCGTGGCGGCCGCTCAGCTCGTGGCATCGCATTGATCCGAGCTGCAGATCACGGCCCCCCGTTCCGTTCCGTCCGAATTTTGCATCGTCCTTTCCATGCTCCACGCAGATGCTGCATCGCAGAATGGGCAGGCCGTCGGCGTTCTTGTCCAGCAGCAGCCAGCCAAATTTCGGCAGCCACTGCGTGATGTATAGCTGCTGCGCCTTCAAAAATTTCTCTTCAGCCTTCTCGGCGTCGGTGAGTTCACGGGAGGCTGGCTTCGGAACTTGGAGTGGAGCGGGCGGCGGAATCGGTTTCGCTGGTGGCGTGCCGAACGGTAGAACGGCCTGCGCGTAGCGACGCCTCTTCTTCGAGGCTGCAGACGATGATTCGCCCACCTCTGACACGCTGACAGTGGCGGGAGCATTGTCTGGCGTGACGGCATTGGAAGCAGGCGGGGGTGACAGACTCTGTTTCCCTTTGCTGCAAGAAGACGGGCCTGGAGTGAGGACAAGCGGAGGGTTCGCATGCACCGCGCGCAGGAAATAAAGGCCTGTTCGTGCGGGCACATCCTTCGATGGCTCGTCAGCAGCTTCTCCGTCACTGTCCTCTGCAGGAGCCATGGCTGCTTAAGGACAGCAGGAGAACCGCCAACGTTGCTCTACTTGGCGTGAGTGCTGTGTTCTTGCGAGAGGAAACCTCGCATGTGTTCATGACCCCTGTCATTTCGTGCCTCTGTTTCCTAACGTGCACGCAAACAAGCAGCGGAGCCTGCCTCAGTCGTCCAAGGAACGCGGTGCCCAGTGGGCTAGTGGGCATCGAATTGTTGCTGCATTCAGCCAAGTTTCCAGCCAACCCGGCCTTGTTGTCAAGTCTGACAAACAGACCAACTAGCGGAGGTGGCGGTGCCAGCAAAGAAACTGTAAACCTGGCCAATAGTGGCCCTCTGTGTGCCAGCACAGGAGTTGTCAAGGCCGAAATTCCGGCCTCAGTGGCCTTGGTGGAATCCCAGGTTACGGGAAAGGGGGGGTGGGTGAACCGGGGGGAGGGGGGGTGTAGGGTACGCGTTACAGGGTAAAACTTGTTACGGGATCCGTAAACCCTTGGCCATCAGTGTGCCTTACAAAAAAAACCTGACACATCAGGGTAAATCTACCTCCACAAAAAAAAAACCCTAGCCCATCAGTGTGACCATCAAAAACCACCCTGATTATCAGGGTATCAGGGTGATTTACACTGATAAAATTAGGCCTGGTCCATATCATGCCTTGAATCAGGGCTGACTTTTCAAATTTAGGTACTCTGAGTTCAACCTAAAAAAAAAAACATTTACCCTGAAGGCACATTTTCCAAAAAAACAGCACCCTGATTGCTCAGGGTTGAGAAGTAGTGAACTCTGAATGTTCAGGGTCGAGAATTGAAAATCAGGGTCGTAGTAACGCACTCTTTCTTTACCGGGGAAAGAAGTCTCACTCAATCAGAACTCTCATTCTGCTCGAAATCTGACAGTCTACGGGGATTCCAGGCAGAATCCGCCTTGACCTAGCGCAAAGAGATTTCCGTACAGAGCAAAGGTCGAATCTGCTGTTGGTGTCGCAAGGGTGACTGTGACTGGCGCTGTGACTGGCGCGCTGTGACTTGCAATGTGATTGGCACTGTGGCGATGTGACTGGCGCTGTGACTCGCGATGTGACTGGCGCTGTGTCAGACACAACTATTTCGACCAATAACAGCAACCTAGAACTGACAGTACAGATTCGCCCGATCTCAATTATGTATGGGAACGAAATTTCGTAGAAACTTCGTCCCGATAAAGCGAGGGGTGGGGAGGGGGAGGGTGTCAAGAGGATAGGCTAGGAAATGGATGAACTATGAAAGAGTTGGGTACAAATATGAAACCCTAGAAGGGGCTGTACCCCATATTGGCTACCCCACTACAGCCTAAATATATATGGCAGATATATAATTTGACACACTCCCATAGGCAAAGCGGGGGAGAACAAGGGGTCACAAGACCAGTCAAGAGAAACAAAACAAGCTCAGGGTGGATCACAACGTCACCACACAATCTGAGCACAAGCAAAGGGCCACAAGGCCAATCCGCATGCAGAGGTATATATATGCAAAAACAACAGTACAGTGATCACTACCTAACAAGTGCAGGTATACAATATAGATCATAGTACAAGCAAGGTCAACAAGTAAGTGAAAAGACACAGGAACAAGGCCAAGTGCAGTACAAAAACGCTGATGGTCACGAGGCGGAAGTGCCTTGGTGAACACATCAGCAGTGTTGGCCTGAGAGGCCACGTAGGCAAGACGAAGCTGACCACGCTGCTGCAGCTCCCTAGCGAGGAAGTAGCGAAGAGCGATGTGCTTGGTTCTGTGCTCCAATCTCTGATCGCGACACAAGGCAAGCATTGCCTTGTTATCGACGTACAGAACTGGAGGAGAACGAAGAACCTCGCCCAAGTCAGTCAGCAGGTAGGTGAGCCAACGCAGCTCCTGTGCAGCCATGGCTCCTGCGTAGATCTCAGCCTCACAACAACTATAGCTGAGAACAGAAGAAGAGCGGGTAGACCGCCAAGAAACAGAACTGGAGCCAAGGCTGAAGGTGTAACCCTGTGACGACCGATGCGTAGCCAAGTCGTCAACCCAAGAAGCGTCTGCGTGACCAGTGAGGACAACTGGACCTCGTCCTCCAAGCACGAGCCCCATGCCTGACGTACTGCACGCATCACCCTCTTAGCTTCCTTCTAGTGCTCTGGATGGTGTCTCCCGGGCGGAACGTAGCGTGCCAGGATGCTAAGAGGGTAAGCGAGGTCAGGGCGAGTGCAGGTCATCAGGTACATGAGGCAACCCACAAGCTCTGGATACGGGCCACTCGGCTCTACGGACTCATCCGAAGGCAGAGCTGAGAGCGAGTGACTGGTAGGCAGAGGAGTGGACAGTGGCGAAGAGAACTGGAAGTCAAAGCGCTGAAGGACCTGCTGCACCATGTGTGACTGGGTCAGAGTGATGGTGCGGCGTGCTCTGTCAGAATGTTATGCTCTAGCCTGTAGTGGGGTGCTCTATAGCGAGTACAACCCTTCTAGGGTTTGCTATTTGTATATCCATTCCTGCTAGTGAATCCCCCTTTCTTTTTGCCCAAACCGTTTCTTGCCTAGCTAGGGCTTTCCTAGCTATGGCGCCTACTTCTACTGCTAATCTTCACATGGTATTAGAGCGATATGCTCCTGGCCTGTGGGCACCACCTCACTGCTTCCGCTGCTAGTGCTACTCCCTGTCCGCCGCGCGCCCCGTGGTGCGCGACATCGAAATTAGGGTTTTCAGCTCGCCGTGCGCCCCGAGGCGCGCGGCGGTTTTCTGCCCGCCGTGCGCCCCGAGGCGCGCGGCGGGTTTCTGCCCCGTCACTCCGCGCGTCGCTCCCGGGAGGCGCTGCGACGGGCGACGGGGACCCGTGCGTCGCCCCCCGTCGCCCGTCGTGGCCTGCGCGCGGCCCGTACAGCCTGCGCGCGGCCCGTACGGGCTGCCCCAAGCCCGCGCGCGGCTCGGGCGGCCTGGGCGCGGTTCGGGTGGCTGTGCCAGGTCCGTGGGCGGCCCGTTCTTCGCTTCCCCTGCGCTGCCCGCTGTCCCCCGTGCTTCTGATGGCGCCCCACCCCTGCTGCTGCCCGTTCTCCTGAATTAGGGTTTGGGGGTGAGAGGAATGGGGGTGCAGCTTCTGTGTGCCGTCCCCTGCTCCTCCTCCTCCTCCGTCTCCCAGTGCTGCAGCTGCCGCTGAGGGGGGTGGACCTGTTGGAGCCGTCGGAGTGGTACTAAGGGGGGTGAAGGGGGAGTGGAGCTAGGGGTGAAGCAGGGGGTGTGTGTCAGGGGGGGTGGGACTGTTTGGGGGAAGTTGAACAAAGGTTGCCCTCGTGTCGCCAGCAGCACCTGTAGTCTGGGGAGTTGCTCCGGTAGCCCAGTTGCAGCCACCTGTGCCAGTCGCCCGTGGGTCCGTTGCTCGTCTGCCGCTACTTTTAGGCGCGGGGCCAGTTACTCCAGTAGTCCGGAGCGCTGTTCCGGTAGCCGCTGTGCCAGTGTGCCTCCTGTTGCCCGTGTGTCTGCAGCTTCAGTCGTCGCCTCCTATCACCTCTCCTCTTACAGTCTCGCCTCCTCCTCCTCACTTGCCCTCTGCGATAGCCTCTAGCTTTGCTTACATTTGTGAACTTTAAACCGTTGCTTCTTGAACTTGTGCTCAGAATGTGTGGTGACATTGTGATCCACCCTCAGCTTGTTCTACTTTGCTTGCTCTGCTGATTACACCCCACTTTGGCTATGGGGGTGTGTCAGAATGTTATGCTCTAGCCTGTAGTGGGGTGCTCTATAGCAAGTACAACCCTTCTAGGGTTTGCTATTTGTAACCCCATTCCTGCTAGTGAATCCCCCTTTCTATTTGCCTAAACTGTTTCTTGCCTAGCTAGGGCTTTCCTAGCTATGGCGCCTAATTCTACTGCTTATCTTCACATGCTCTGTCCCGAGTGATCTGCAAGCCAAGATAGCTGCGCAGCTCACCCAGGTCTGTGCACGTGTGTCTCTTCTGTAGCTCGGACTTCACGTAGGCGAGGCCAGCAGTGTCAGCTGTGGCAAAGACCAAGTCGTCGACGTACACGAGGATGTAGAGCGGCGGCAAAGAGGTGTCGGTGCGTAGAAACAACGACGGGTCGGCAGTAGAAGGCGCAAACCCAAGAGCCGCAAGTGTAGTCCTTAGTGTGTCGTGCCGCTCACGAGGTGCCTGGCGGAGACCATAGACTAGCCGCCGGAGGCTCCACTGGGTACCAGGGGAAACGACCCAGTGAAGCCAGGTGGGCGGCGCAGCCAGATCTCCTCGTGCAGGCTGCCCTGTAGAAAGGCTGTGCTGAAGTCAAGAGAGTGAAGCTCGTAGTCATGCTGAGCAGCAACGTGCAGCAGTACCCGAAGAGTGGTCATCTTCGGGGTGGGAGAGGTCTGAAAGTAGTCAACTCCCTGTCGCTGATTGAAGCCACGAGCCACGTAACGCGCCTTGAAGACAGGCGGAGAACCCGGCGACCGCTTCACCCTGAAGATCCACTTGCCATCAATAATGTTCGCCCCAGGTGGGGGAACCTCGTTGATGTAGGTGCCTGTGGACTTCCAGGAAGCCATCTCTGCATCCATGGCTGCCTGCCACTGAGAGGAGTAGGGACCCTCAACCGCCTCTGCGTAAGAGCGAGGAGTCGGGATGTCAAGTGCATCCGGGTCTCCCACAGGGGCAAGCAGCATGGACACGAGATGAGGTGAAGCAGCAGCCAAACACTGGAACTCCTCCTGCCTGTCCTCAAGGACATCCGTGCCAAGGGCACACTCACCCCCGACAGACGGAGGACAAACAGACTCAGACTCACCAACAAGACTAGCAGCGTAGTCTAGACGACAGCGAGCAGCAAAGTCGACAAGATCGGCAACCAGAGCAGATGCAGCAGCAGACTCAAAGGAAGGGTCAGTGACAACAGTAGCAAGGAGACGCGTGACAGTGGGACTAGTAGCACGAAGGTAGTCAGACTCCGGGTCAGCAAGGGCAGGAAGAGAGGACTCAGGAGGCGACGGCAGAGGAATACGCTGTGGAGCAGTGGAAGGACGCAGAGTCATCCGGTGCGTGCCAGCGATAGGAGGAGGACGCAGACTATGACGACTAGCGCAAGCAACACGAACAAGCAATGCAGGACGAGACGCAGGCTCACGACGCTCAGCAAGACCTCCTATCGGACCAGCGTACGGAGACGGAGCAGGCAGTGGGGAGGTGGGCTATAGATGTGACGGCGAGAGGACAGGCGGTGGACACTCTAAGGAAGGGGGTGGAGCAGGAGAAGGCGGGAGACCAAGAACCTGCTCAAGGAGCGGAACGAAGTACGGTCGTGGCCGCGCAGCACCCCGAGAGCCAACAACAGCACGACCAGGAGCTCCAGCAGCACCTCCAGCAGCTCCAGCACCCCGAGAGCCAACAGCAGCACCACCAGCAGCTCTAGCACCAGCAGCACCAACAGCAGCACCACCAGCAGCTCCAGCAGCACCTCCAGCAGCTCCAGCACCCCCAGAGCCGACAGCAGCACCACCAGCAGCTCCAGCACCAGCAACACCAACAGCAGCACCACCACCAGCTCTAGCAGCTCCACCAGCTCCACCGGTAGCTCCAGCAGCACCTCCAGCAGCTCCTGCACTAGGAGCACCAACAGCAGCACCACCAGCTCCACCGGCAGCTCCAGCAGCACCTCCAGAACCACCGGCCCCGGCAGCTCGAGTACCTCCAGTACGAGCACCTCCAAGGCCTGCGGTAGCACGAGTGTCTCCAGCACCAGCTGCAGTACCGCCAACGCGAAGACGTCTCCTCAGTCGCTGACGAACCGCAAACCACTCTTGCAGCTCCGCTGGTGTAAGGGGCCGGCGAGAAACCGGTCCAGCACCCTCAGTCTGAGCGCGCCCAGGCTCTGCACCCTCTAGGACCTCACGCACCGGCACAGCACCCCCAGGCTCCGCACCCTCCAGCACCTCACGCACCGGCTCAGCACCCCCAGGCTCCGCACCCTCCAGCACCTCACGCACCGGCTCAGCACCCTCAGGCCCCGCACCCTCTAGAATCTCACGCCGTGGCCCAGCACCTCCAGACGCAGCACCTCGAGCAGTACCACCCTTAGCAGCACCTGAGACGCTAGTGACCTCGACATGCTCAGCTAAGGGGGGTGGGCCTACCTGAGACACACCTGAAGGAGCAGGACCCTAGGGGGGAAGGGGGTCTACCGGAGGGGGACCTGGAGCGAGGAAGAGCGGCGGGGGAGGGAGAGGAGCAGTGCGGTAGGGAAAGAGGCGGTAGCAAGGGACCGACTCGTCAAAAGTGACGTCCTGAGAAGACAGGACAGTGCGCAAGGCAGGGTGGTAAAACTACCAGCCAGGCGCGTCAGTCGGAAAGCCGAGGAAGACACAGGGAAGGGTGCAGGAGAAGAGCTTGTCTGCGGACGTATCGCGAACAAGAGCATGGGCACCCCAGACCCGGAACACCGACGCATCTCCAACCTCCCCTGTCCACCGAAGTGTGGGCGAGGTCTCCGGAACGGAGACACGGAGCCAGAGGTTGAGTTGCTGTGCGACGTACCTGACCGCAAACGACCACAGAAAATAGGGAGCCGCCGCATGGATCAAGGAGGTACGAGCAATCTCCATGATCAGGCCAATGCGGCGCTCAGCAACCCCATTTTGCTGCGGTGAGCCCGGAAGCGTGTAAGACTGGGTGATGCCCTCCTCCTGACAGAAGCCGCGCAAGAGGTCGGAGGCAAACTCTCCGCCCCTCTCAGAGTGCAGACGCAGAACAGGGAGGACGGTCTGAAACCTCCTGTGTAGCTATAGACGAACCGCTCGGATCCAAGGGATCAGGACAGCAGGGACCTCACCCTTGGTGCGCAAGGGGAAGACCGTGGTGTAGAGTAGTCGTCAACTACCAGCAGGAAGTACCGCTCTCCACCCCGTCCGCTAACATGGGCGGTGCCCCACACGTCCATGTGGAGAGTCTGCAGCGGAGCCTCTGTCGGAGGAAACGAGGAGGAGTGAGGAGCGGCGCGCTGCCGCCCCTCGACGCAAGGAAGGCAGGCCGGGGCAGGCGAAGTAGGGAGGGGAGGCAAGGTCCGGGGAAGACCAGACACAAGGACGCGACGGTGCATGTCACGAAGATGGGGCATGGAGGGGTGGCCCAGACGGTGGTGCCAGAGAACGGTCTGGTGCGACAGGGAGCGACACAAGGAGGGGGAGTCCAGCTGACCTGACGTAGACGTCTGACCGACAGCAACTACCTGGGGAGACACAGTGGTCAGTGTGTAATGGCTCGACCCTGGCGCACGCGTGAACGTGGCTAGGTGTCGCCCAGTCCTGGAGCACGTACAGATCGCCACACGCTGTCCTCCAGGGGTGAAGGTATAAACCCAGTGGACCTGGACATCGTTGCTCACCAAGTTCATAGAGAACGTGGGGAGGTGGAGACCTGACATCGAACTAGACGGGACCGCTGGGCAAGGAAGCACAGTGGTAGACCGTGCAAGGACTGGACCCCCTGAGGGGTCAGCCAGGGTCAGCGGTGTGAGGGCTGTGCTGTCACGGAAGAAACACCTGGAAGCACCTGAGTCAAGAGTGAAGGTGTGCAAGGCGATAGAAGGCGCAGTAACTGACAGCGCAGACTCACCCGTACCTAAGGCAGCGGACGCGGTACCTGAGAGCTCAGACTCGCAAGCACCAAGAGGTGCTGGCTCTATACCTGGATCCGGCGGCTGACACAGGTAGTAGTCACCCTCAGCACTAACAGACAATGCATACATGGTAGCAAGAATAGCATCATAGTCAAGAGCAAAGATGTCTACACCCTTCTTAAGCAGATCAAACCAGCGAGGGGTCTCAACCTTTGCACCCATCTCCTCACGCCAGGCGTCGTCAAGGCGGGAGAAGCAACGCTGCTGAGGGTGGGGGTTGCCGCATGTCTGACCAGCATGCTCACCGGTGCGAATGATATACGGACAGCGAGTACCTCCAGACGTACCCCTCTGAGCCAACCACTCACGAAGCTGCTGAGGCATAAGGGACCGTTGCTGCTGCTGTCTCTGACCAGCGCCTCCACCACGACCGCCACCGCCTCCGCTGCCTCCACCACCGCCGCTACCGCTACCACCGCCACTACCGCCACCACCGCCACTCCCACCGCCGCCACCACCAACACCTCCACCACCGCCGCTACCAGTCCCACCAGCCCTCCCGCCGCCACTGCCTCCACTCCCACCGCCACCCCCACCTCCTCCACCTCCTCCTCCGCCGCCACCGCCACCACCGCCCTTGCCCCCCTTGCCCTTGCCGGTGTGGCGCCGCCCGGTAGAAGTGGAGGCAGCACCAACCGAGTCGGCTCCGAGGAAGTCTACGGCGGCAGCAGTGGCGTAGGAGGGGGCAAGAGGGGAAGAAGCGCACCCCTCAAAGATGGGGGTGCGAGGAGCGCTACGAGCAGCAGCCACACTAAAATGCTGCTCTTAGCGGCTAAGAGGTGCTCCTCTAGGAGGTCTATGGTGAGGTCGGAGGGACAGCGCGCTAGGAAGTGGTCCCTGACTGAGTGAAGGGTGTCAGGGAGGCGGGTCACTATAAAGTGGAGCGTCCAGTACATCGGAGGGGGGTGCTGGGCAACAAACTCCTTGCGGAGTGCGGCACGGACACGAGCGTCACTAGAGCGAAGGTGGGTGATGAGGTCGGCTACGGTGGCAAAGCTCGACAGCTCGGGCAACAGGTACGGCAGCATGAGGCGGCTGAGCGCAGCAGTGGCAGGGGAGGAGTAGCGAGCAACTACAGCGTCGTACAGGGAGTTAGCGGTTTTGTGCTCGCCAAAGTGCTTGAGTTCCGCTAGCGGCAGGTGGTTGCGGATAGCAAGGCGGGCAGCAGCGTCACGCGTCAGCCACTGAGAGCGCTCGCTAAGGGCAGCTGTGTCAGCAGGAGCGGCTAGGGCCCCGGAGGTGTGGTCAAAGAGTGAGATCTCGTCTTTGCTGGTGCTTATGAGGTAGAGCTGCAAGTCATCTAGCCAGGAGTCGAACTCTACAGGGCGGCCCTCGGTGTCGAAAGAAAGAACACGAAGGGTGGCCATAGTGCTAGGTGCACGGGCTGCAGAAAACGACGCGCAAATAGGCAGAAAGCGACGCACGGGTAGGCAGAAAGCGGCGCACGGGTAGGCAGAAAAGTGGTGCACGGTCTCCAAAAAACGACGTGCAGGTAGACAGAAAACGGCGCACGGGTAGGCAGAGTGCAGAGTTCGGGCTGCAGAAAGCAACGTGCGGTGTGCAGAAAGTGGCGCACGGGTAGGCAGAAAAGAGGTGCACGGTCTGCAGAAAACGACTTGCAGGTAGGCAGAAAACGGCGCACGGGTAGGCAGAGTACGTTGCTCGGGCTGCAGAAAGCGGCGGACGCGGCAGCAGGGCGGGCGACGCGGCAGCAGCGCGCACGACGCAGCAGGGCGGGCGACGCAGAAGTAGCGCGCGCGACGAGGCAGGGCGGGCGGCGCGGCTGCAGGGCGCGCGACGCAGCAGGGCAGGCGACGCGGCTGCAGGGCGCGCGACGCAGCAGGGCAGGAGACGCGGCAGCAGCGCGCAACGCGACAGGAGGGCCCGCGTGGGGCGACAGCAGGGCACGCGACAAAAAAAAAAAAAAAAGGCACCTCGCGTGGCAGCACGCGCGCAGGCAGGGCATATCAGTACGGTGGGCCCACAGTATTAGGTCCTAGGGACCTCCTGCTCTGAAACCATGTCAAGAGGAAACGACAACTACAATGTTCTGACAACTACAGCCTAAACATATATGGCAGATATATAATTTGACAGAGGGGGGGATCATGCACGTGGGGGGTACTGAAATCAAACCGAAGGCGGGGTTATCAGAAGGAAATTTCCGAGAAACTTCATCCCGATAACATCGCATTCAGGGTCCATAGGCCGCGTACTCTGTATTGACAAGGTCTGTGAAAACCTTACACTAAGAGTGTACACTAAATTTCAGGGTCCACTAAAGCAATACTCTGAATGGATCAGGGACCAAAATGTGAAAAACCTGATTTCTCAGGGACCAGAAAGTGACAAGTCTGAAATCACCCTGAAATCAAGGTAATTACCTTGATAAAATCAGCCCTGCCTTGAATGCGTATCAATAGAATGTTTTGATTTTTATGTAATCGTTACTGTCTATCATATGCAAAATTAGTATTGTTCTGATTGATATTGAAATTATTGTAACTTGGGCTAGCTCCATTTCTTAATATTCGGAAATATAATTATGAAAGGGTAAAATAATTTGTTACAAATAAATTATCACTAGGATAGCTTTGCGATTTGACATTGTGTGAGTGCTTTTATTTTGTGGGGTTTGTTTGATAGCTAAGGCTATATGATTGTATTTTGTGTTTTTGTTTTTGTTACGGATTACAAGTTTGCATTTCGAGGTTTTACTGTATGGGATTGTAAACGCCGGTGTTATAAACAGAATTGCGCATTCAGTGGGTGTATACGCGGACAGTCAGTTTCATTTTGTTGAGTCAAACCTGACTTGTACGGTGTACAGTATGGTTGGAACGCGAAGTTACCAGTTGTCAAACTATAATGTTGTGTAGGCTCTAATGGGGTAGCCTATATGGGGTACACAATTCTAGGGTTGCATACTTGTATCACTTTCATTCCTTAGTCATCCATTCTCGTTCATACTTTCTCATGGTATCGAGCAGGTTCCCCTGTGGGAACTGTTCCTAGGGCCCACCGATCACCTTTTTTTTTTTTCCTGCCCGGGGCGCGTCCTGCCCCTGCCCGAAGCGCGCCTCGGGTCGCGCCCTTCCTATCGGCCCCGTCGCGTCCCCTTAGCGGCCCGTCGCGTCGCCCTTAGCGGCCCGTCGCGCCGCCCTTACTGTCGCGGCGCGCAGCCCTAACGGCCGCGTCGAGCCGCCCGTTCACCAGCGGCCCCGTTGCCGCCCTAGTAGCGGCCTGTCGCCGCCCTCCTAACGGCCCCGCCGTCTCGCTATACGGCCCCGCCGCCCTCGCCTGCGGCCCGCCACCCTCAACTACGGCTCCGCCGCCCTCAACTGCTGCGGCCCCTGCCGCCCTTCTCTGCGGCCTCGCCGCCCTCTGCTGCGGCCCCGCCGCCCTCAACTGCAGCCCCGCCGCCCTCAACTGCGGCCCCGCCACTCTCAGCCGCGGCCCCGCCACCTTCACCTGCGGCCCCGCCGCCCTCTACCGCAGCCCCGCCACTTTCACCTGCGGCCCCGCCGCCCTCTGCTGCGGCCCCGCCGCCCTCTGCTGCGGCCCCGCCGCCCTCTGCTGCGGCCCCGCCGCTTTCACCTACGGCCCCGCCGCCCTCTGCTGCGGCCCCGCCGCCCTCTACTGCGGCCCCGCCGCTTTCACCTGCGGCCCCGCCACCCTCGGCTGCCCGACCCGCTCCACCCAGCCGATCGCCGCACCGCCCTGCAGCAGCACAGCCAAGCCGCCCGGGCAGCCGAGCAGCCGGACAGCAGAGCCGCCCAGCAGCCGAGCCGCCCAGCAGCCGAGCCGCCCAGCAGCCGAGCCGCCCTGCCGCCAAGCCGCACTACAGCCGAGCCGCCCAGCCGCCCAGACGCCGAGCCGCCGAGCTGCCGAGCCGCCCTACGGCCGAGCCGCCCGAGCTGCCCTGTCCGGTGAGCATAGTGCCCCTTTTATTGTTGCACTGCTAGTCTACTGTGGTCATGGCTACCCCGAGTGTCCTCGCTTTTGACGCTGAGGGTCGAGCCATTGACTTTGAGGTCTGGATAGATGACCTGCAGCTGTTCTTACAGTGCGATAGGGCAGATGGTCTCTCTCTCTTTGACCTCACCTTTGGCGCCTCTCCTGCCCCTGCTGCTGATGCTGACGCCACTGTTTGCTCACAGTGGGCCACGCGCGACGCTGCTGCACGTCTTGCTGTGCGTCGCCACCTCCCTACCTCCGAGCGTGCGCACTTTAGTCAGAACAAGAGTGCTCAGACCTTGTACGACGCTGTAGTTGCGCGCTACTCCTCCCCTTCCACTGCTGCACTGAGCCGTCTCATGCTACCGTACCTCTTCCCTGACCTTGCTGCCTTTCCCACAGTCGCTGACCTCATTACGCACCTCCGCACTAGTGACACTCGCTACCGCGCTGCACTTCCCGCTGACTTCTGCGCCAAGAACCCCCCCCCCATGTACATCACTCTCTACTACATAGTCACTCGCCTCCCTGACTCCCTTCGCGTAGTCAGGGACCACTTTCTCTCTGTCTGTCCCACCACTCTCACTGTTGACCTCCTCGAGAATTCCCTCCTAGCGGCCGAGAAGAGCATAGTCGCTGCAGGGGCCTCTCGTGGTGACCCGCGCACCCCCATCTTTGAGGGGTGTTCCCCCTCCCCCCTTTTGCCCTCTGTTGCCTCTGCTATTACGGCCGACCTCCTTGGTCTTGAGTCGGTCGGTGCGGCGTCTGCCCCTACCGGGCGACGCCGCTCTGGCAAGGGCAAGGGGGGCAAGGGCACTGGAGGAGCGAGCAGGGGCGGTGGAGGTGGAGGTGGAGGCGGCGGGGGGAGTGGGGGTGGCGGTGGGAGTGGAGGTGGGGGTGGAGGTGTCGGTGGCGGCAGTGGAGGCGGAGGCGGCGGTGGCGGTGGCAGTGGGAGCGGGGGTAGCGGAGGTGGTGGCAGTGGACGAGGCGGCGGAGGCGGCGGTAGTAGCGGAGGCGGTGGAGGCGGTGGAGGCGGCGGGGGTGGCGGTGGAGCTGGTCGCGGGTCTACGCCGAGGAGTGGCTCTGGTGGTGGTCAGCGCCAGCAGCAGCAGCACGGTCGTGAGACCCTGTCCCCTCAGCAGCTCCGTGAGTGGTACACTGCACGCCAGAGGGGTGGGGGTTTGGGTCCGTGCACCTACGTCCTGCGCACCGGCGACCGTGCGGGTGAGCAGTGTGGGGGTGCGCACCCCACCCAGTGCTGCTTTGGCCGCCTGACGGACGCGTGGCGTGGCCAGTTCCCAGAGGCCAAAGAGATCCCTCGCTGGGGCGAGCTTTCTAGGGCGGGAGTTGCTATCTATGATCTTGATTTTGATGCTATTCTTTATGCCATGTATGTTGTGTCCATTAGTGATGAGGCTGGTTGTTACCGGTGTTTCCCGCCCGATCCGGGCATTGAGACTGCTGCTCTAGATACTGGTGAGGCTGCTGCCCTAGGTGCTTGCGACGCTGCTGCTCTAGGTGCTAGTACGTCTGCTTCCTCAGGTACTGGTGAGTCTGCGCTCTCAGGTACTGCGCCTGCTTCGGCCTCCCTCACCTTCACTCTTGACTCTGGGGCCTCTCGCTCCTTCTTTCGCGACCGCACCACACTCACGCCGCTTCGTCGGCCAGTCGCGGTGTCTCTGGCTGACCCCTCAAGGGGTCCTGTCCTGTCTCACTTCTCCACAATCCTCCCGTGTCCGGCGGCTCCCTCTGGCACCCTGCCTGGTCTCTACCTCCCCACGTTCTCTACGAACTTGGTGAGTGGTGCTGACCTACAGGATGGGGGAGTCCACCAGTTCACTCCTGCGCGTCAGCGGGTGACGCACTGTACAGAGGCTAGCACAGGCCGACACCTGGCTACGTTTACCCGTCAGCCGGGGTCGAGCCTGTACACACTGACCACTCTGTCTCCTCCAGCTGCTGAGTCTGGTAGGGTAGCTGCGTCGGGTCAGGTGTTTGCTGCTGCGTCCAGGTCTGGTCCTGAGTCTGCCCCCTGTTCGTGTCGTCTCCTGTCTCACGAGACCCTCCTCTGGCACCACCGCCTTGGTCACCCCTCTCTGCTTTGGCTCAGAGGCATGGCCTCTCGTCTTCTTGTTTCTGGTCTCCCCCGGTCGAGGGGCGCCAGCGGGCTGCCCCTCACTCCTCCCAGTTTCCTCCGACAGAGGCCCCGCTGCAGACGCTTCACATGGACGTGTGGGGCCTAGCCCGCGTCCGTGGACAGGGTCACGAGAGCTACTTCCTGCTCGTTGTTGACGACTATTCGCGTTACACCACGGTCTTCCCCTTGCGCAGCAAGGGTGATGTCACTGAGGTGCTGATCGACTAGATCCGCGCAGCTCGTCTCCAGCTCAGGCAGAGCTTTAGCTCGGAC